CAGTTTGCCAACTCTCAAAGAACTGATTCATTTCAACTCACTATTCTGCAGTTTCCCAATCCTCTATCCAAACCAATACACCAGTCTGAACACCATGAGTTCTTAACTTGTGCAATAACATTTTATTACTGAATCATATTGATTTGATACCATTTGACCAATGGTATCCATGCCAGGTCCTTGGTAGAGCCATCCAATTACTCCAACTTCTCTGCTCTTCTGCCATAGCAAATTAACTTCTGAACTGTACTGTTATTTTTCTACTACACATATTAAGAAATGTTCTTGATTGTACCTTCCAATCTAACACTTACGACACTTTGTCTTTCAGCCTGAAAAACTGAGGCTCATTATCTGAATATTTCAAACATGGAGGAGAATGTCAGAAGACACCAAATCCAAGGCAAAAGTCAGGAGCTTCATGAAATACTTTCAACTTGCCTGGATAAGTGTAGTTCCAATCACATTTCATAAGCTTAGGATCATTCAAGTCAAATGAAAACCACTTAACTGTCATAATTCACCACCTTACACATGAATCCCCCTCCATCATTGGAGCATAGTCAAAGCAGTGTATACTATCTAGAAGATACACTGAAGGAACCCCATAATCATCCTTCCAAAGCAAAACACTTTATAACACCACAATCTCTGCCACCTATAGCAAGGGCAGCAAAGGCATAGAAACACCACCACTTGCAAATTTCTCTCCAATTCACACACTTCTCTGATTTGGAACTGCGTTGCTGTTCCTTCACTGTCATTGGTACAAAATCCTGGAACCCTTTGCTGAACATTGCTGCAAGTATGAATGCATCATATGGACTGCATTCAATAAACCAGATCACCACAGTCTCAAGGGTATTTAGGGACTGGCAATTAGTGCTAACTTAGTCAGTCAGGCCACATGCCAGAGACGATTTTTAAGAAATGACATGTAGAAGTAATAAATCAGGAAGCAGATGAACCTAGAGATAACCATAAATTATTCAGACAGGTGTTCGTGAAGATAATCATGTTCCTTACAAATCCAGAGATAATGACTCTTGGCTAATAAGGTTTTGGACTAAATCCTATGTTGAAGGCAACAATTATCATCATACCATTAATTACAATCTGAGAACTCCAAGCAAAACTGTAAAGACAGTTTCACAAAGGAACTGACAGTTAGAAAATGTAGAAAGCTGTGCAGTGGAGTATTTAACACCTTCACACCAAGTAATACATAGACAAGAGACAGGTGAAATTCTTGAGTCTTGACACTGGGTGCACTTGCTGTTCTCCATTTAAAGGTACCACAAAGGAACAAAGTCTTCTGTAGCTGCATTCCCAAGCCTTTTGTGTTTGTCCTGTAATTTGTTGGGGTCATGAGGTGTGTAGAGAACAGCGCTAATCTTATGTCTGCATAACAGGGACTGGTCATCACAAATAACAACTACAAGTGAGATAGGAGAAGGTGTTTTTGACCTCCAATCTTGATTTTCAGGCAGAAGACTATCTGAACCTGCAGGACTGGAGGAAGCCAAAAATAATAGTAGTGTTAGCTTTTCATTTTTAAATAACTTCCACATCACTCATCCCCACGTTCTCATGTCCTGTAGTAGTTTAGATGTATTCAAAGCTTCTGTCTGTTAAACTTGAATGATAGTTTGAGTTAGAAATCCATTACAGTTTCAGGCATGAGTTTACCATTTTCACTCCCTCACCATCTTATAAGCCCCTATTAGACCATCTTTAACATATCTCTTCTCCAGAACAGTTCTTCTCTCTCTAGATATTACTTCACAATTCTGGTCTTTGGCAATGGGTTCATCTCATGATTTTTCCCTACATTACCTCCAATGCTAAATGGCTCCTTTGTGTGTTACTTATGTTCGTTGTGCTGATGGTACGGCACAGTGATAATGACCCTACCTCTGGGCCAGAATTCTGGGTTCAATTCACACCTCAGGCCTTAACAGCAATGAAAAGTGTGTCTCACAATGTAGCCAAATAGTCCAGTAATCAATCTGTAAATCTCTCCATTATGACTGTGGCAGACAGTGAGATGCAAAGTTTCCTGGTCAGCCTGAACAGTTTCCTCCAAATCACTAACAATCTGCATCCTCTGCAACTTTGGGAATTTCTGAATCTAAGTAATTTGTGCAAGTTTGCAACTATAATGGTCCCAACACCCTATTCACATTACTGAGTAATTCTCTCTTCCCCATTCCTTGCCAGACAGACTATTTCTAAACAAGTGCTCATTGTTTTCATATTTTTACATCCATCTCCAGAGTTTGCCATGAACTCGCCAAGATGTGAGTTTAGCTTTGATGTGAAATTTTGTAAAGTTACTTTTAGATGTCTAAAGGCTGAAAATTGCATTCTTCTCATAACCTCTAAAAGAAAATGTAATGTTACACTGACTGACATTCAACAAGGCGACCCTGCAGCTATAATGTGCTCCAAGTTGAGGAGGTGAGGCTCAGACTTCTGCCCTTCAATGTGAGGAAGTAATGTCCTGGAGAGTTAATAAATTAGCCAGCAGCTTTACCAGTGCCAGAACTGACCAGTGCTGCTGGGATTGCAAGTGGGCTTGAGATGAAGACAGTCATTATACCTGGACCCAGTTAAGTCCTGGGTTTAGAACAGGGAGGGACTGGGGAGCCAAGACAGCGACACCATCCAGGAAAGAATAAAAGGGAACAGCATATTGAGGTGTAGTATTCTCAATCGGCAAGAAACCCAACTCACACGTCAATCTTCACAGGATGTACCCCAGCCCCACGATATTTTTTAAATACTGGTGGCCAGGCTATTGCTTTGTGCAGCTGTTAGGTTATGGGATCGGGTTGATAGTAGGCAGGAAGTTGTGAACTAACCACCCTTCACACTTTACATGACACCCACCCCCTCACCATCATCTAACTGGGAACCATCAAATCATATTTTTAAGACGAGAGGAGAAGGATTTAAAAATGACATGAGGGGCAACTTTTTTAGACAGAGAGTTGTTTGTGTATGTTTGAGGAAGTGGCGGATGCAGCTACAGTTGCAATGTTTAAAAGATATTTAGATAAGTACATGAATAAGAAGTGTTTGGAGGGGAATGGGCCAAGCGCAGGCAGGTGGGACTAGTTTACATACACAGGAGTTCTGAGGAAGGGTCACCGGATCCGAAACGTTAACTCTGTTTTTTCCCTTCACAGATGCCGCCAGACCTGCTGAGCTTTTCCAGCAGCTTTGTTTTTGTTCCCGATTTACAGCATCTGCAGTTCTTTCATTTTTTTATTTGGGACTAGTTTAGTCCAATGCAAGCTGGAAGACCAACACTTTGTTTTCCGCTTGGGGACCCTACAGCCCTCTGGACTCAATATCAAGTTCAATAATTTTAGGGCCTAAACTCTCCTATGTCCAAGCCCCCTATCCCACGTACCAGGTCTTGTTATCACACAGCCTGCCATTACACACTACCTATTGTTAGTCACAAACAGTCCCCACTCACAGCTACTCATCCTCCCAGCCAGATCATTATCAACTCCTTTGTGTATCCAACTGCTTTTCACTCTCTTCAGGGTCTATCCTTTATCCTGTTGTTTACTCCCTACCCCATCCCCCTCCCTATTTTCTATATATAAACCGAGGTTTTCCCAGCCACCATCAGTTCTGAGGAAGGGTCACCGGACCCAAAACGTTAACTCTGATGTTTTCTTCACAGACCTGCTGCCAGACCTGCTGAGCTGATGCAAAGTACTTGATTTGTATTTCATCCGTCTGCTGCAGTTCCACAAAAAGGCAATCTTGCTGATCTTTAAGGATCCTATTCTCTCCCTCGTTTCTCTTTTATCCTTAATGGGTATTTGTAAGAATCCTTTGGATTCTCCTTAACCCTATTTACGATAGCTATCTCATTTCCCTTGTTGCCCTCCTGATTTCCCTCTGAAGTAAACTCCTACTGCTCTTATACCCTCTCAATCCTTCTAAAACAGTGATAGTAGGAACTGCAGATGCTGGAGAATCCGAGACAACAAGGTGCAGGGCTGGATGAACACAGCAGGCCAAGCAGCAT